GGTTTTTAAGGCGGATAAAAACAATAAAGATAGGTTTTCTTTAAGAAGTGATGAATTAACAATTGGTGTCGGTTTAATGATTAAAGCGTATAGAAATGATAAAGAAGAAAGTAAATAAATTTTTAAAATTTAAAATTGAAAAATCAATTCATTCATTCTTCCTCATTCTTAGCTTTCCTTATTTTATGTTTTTTACCCGCTGCAGTCACAATAACATCTACTTTATAACTATGAGTTACGAATAAAACATTTCTATTTACAACTGTTATTATATATTTCTTCAGATGGCCTAACACTGGTAATGAAACAAATTTTTTAACAGCAGATGATGGAAACTTTTCAAATGCGTTATACCTTTTATTCTTGCTGGCATAAATTTCCTCTCCGTTTATTGATATCAAATCCCAGGTTCTAGAAGGCGTTCTATGATAAGATGTGTTCTTTCTGATTAAATCCATCTTAATTTTCAAATCGATAGTTCGTCTTTTTGGATGAAATATTTTTTCATTCAATCCCGTCATTAAAATGAGCTTCCAACTATCTCCATGTTCTTCTACTTTTCTTATTAGATAAGCTTGCTCTTCCTCTGTAAATGGAATTCTAACTCGTGATTCTGATCTCTTCGGGTTAAACTTTATTTCAGAAGTCTGTGTTAAAAAATCAGTCTTAAACATACTATCCTTACTAATATTTCCCCATGTGCTTTTTTCTTCACTTTCAGCCAGATTTTCTATCAACATATTATCTACTACATTATCTATTAATTCTTTACTTGTTTTCTTGTTACTCACTTTTTTTTGTTTTGTCTCTTTATCCGGTTTCTGAGTTCTAACTAACTTTGGTGCTTCAATGACAGAAGGGATGTTATTTACTTGGTTTTCATATTCATAGTCTTTAAAGTCGTCCATTTTATGGGTAAAATTTTAACAACTTTTAATCAAAAAATTATTAAAATTAAATTATTTTATTAATAAGTCATTAAAATACTTTATTTTTAAAATTATACAAATTCTCTATTTAGTATTTTTCCTTGATTAGATTATTTTATCTTTTAATATTAGTAATTTTTATTTGTTAAAATTTTTTAATTGATTAATTTAACAGAGACAAAAATTTTCATTCTTAATAAAATTTAAATCTACTTCAATTATTCTTCATCTGTTTTCTTTGTTCTTTAAATTCTTTAACTAATTTTAATTCTGTAAATTTAGTGATAAAAAAATAATTAAAATTCCCTCAACTTTTTCCCTCCCTTAAAAATAAAAGAAAAAATAATTTTTCAGCCTAGATGAAAAAAGTATTTAAAGATATTACCAGTATCAGAAAAAAGAATATCAAGATAACCATACACAAGGAAAGCCATCGTCAAACACTGATAAGGTGGATATACGAGGTTTGCATGGATTTTAGATATACATTTTATACGTACCTTAGAACCGTTATGCTTGTAGATCGATACATACGCACAATAAACGCAACAACTGATGATTATCAATTGATTGGAGTTAGTTGTTTGTTTATATGTGCTAAAATAGAAGAGACAACAACCAGACCAATAAAATCATATGAAATGGTTACAGAAAATTCCTGTAAAGTAGAAGAAATACTCATTAAAGAAAATGAAATTCTAGAACAAATGGACTACTCATTAAACTACCAACTACCACTAGACTTTGAAAGACAAGTTCATCTGAGAAAAATTGATAAAAATGCTGAAATAGCATCTGAATTACTAAAAACTATTATTTCAGCTCTTTATGAAAAATACTGTAGTAGAGAAAGTAATTATACTATTTATACACAAGCATTAAGAATATCAGAACGGATTGTTAAATTTAAAGTAATAGAATCACCATTTGATTTCTATATCAATAATAACCCTAAGTTAGAAGCATTGTTTAATAAAAAAAATCAATAAAATTTAATGATTAAGTTGTTTTTTTCTTTTTACCAATCTCATTAATATCCCAGCTCTTTTCTACTATATCTCTTACTCTTAAATGGTATTGATTTGGATCATTTTCATATAAATTAGCAGCTTCAACATTTGCTGGACTATTGATGTTTGGATCATTAAGTAATGACTGTATGCTAAGTAAAATACCAAGAACATCATACGTTGGTGACCATTTATTCTTTAAAATATCAAGACACAAATCTCCGTTATTATATACATTTGGGTGAAACATAGGGCATAAGAAGCATACTTCTGGTGCATTTTGTGGGTAAGTTTCATCAAAAATCATTGCTAGTGAAAAAGAACCTCCTTCATATGGAGTATCACTTGGTCCAGAAATAATAGCCACCCATGTAAATACATCACTCTCTAGTGGCTCTGCGTATATTTTATGAGTTTCGCAATTGTTATTTACTACTTCTAAATCCTTTAATAACCTTCTTGTTGGTGACGTTGCCATGATTAAAAGAATTTTTAAAGGGTGAAAGAAAATTAAATTGATAAGAAATTTTTTAAATAAAAATTTTAGAATGATCAATAAAAGAAAGTTGGAGAAAAAATCAACCGAAGATTGTTATTATTTTTTATATTCAGTTTGTATACTTGGGAACGCATGTTTATATAGACATAATGAATTATCTAAACAGTGTAATGTCTTATGTGATGAATGGGATAGAACTGAGAAATGTCGTGAAGATTGTCCTTTTAGACATAGTAGATATCATTTAAAGAAACAAAGAAGTGATGAGTTGTGTTATTGGGAAAGTAACGGTGGTTGTAAAAAAGAATTTTGTGAATATAAACATAATGATCCAACTAAAGATCAGTGGAAAAAAGGAGTCGTTAAGAATTTAAATACCGTACGAAAAGAAAAAAATAAAATTAACAGAGAAGAAATTAAAGAAGAAGATTTAGAAAAGTTTGAAGAAGAGAGACAAGAAATTAAAAAACTAAAACTTCTTAAATTAAATAAAAACAAATCTCTTAATTACGAAAAAGTTAATATTTTAATGTTAAAAAAGTTAAGTGAGTGTTTATCTGATGATAAAAAACAATTAATAGACATAGACATAGAGAAATTGAAAAACGATATTATATTAGTTTGTAATAAATTAAATAATTTAAGAACAAACACTACAGCTAAAAATAATAGTGGTTCAGATTTTGTAGTATCTATTGATGATGATTTAGATGCGGAATTAGAAGAGTTAAATAAACTTATTGATTGATTTTCTTTTAAAAATAAGATTATAAAAGATAAGTTATTTATTTTTCAAAAAATTAAAGTTAGAAATTTGATTAATGTTAATTGTATAATTTTTTTGATAATAAATTAGAAATTAGTTATTTAATATAATAAAATTGTTAAACATTATAATTATATAAATTCATTTTAGTTTATTTATAAAAAATTATATAAATTTGAATCTTAATTACACTAACAGAAAAAATCAAGGAATTTTTTTTAGTTTAGTTAAATTGAATTAAATTAATAATTTTTTCTAAATCATTCTTGAATTTTTAAATCATTAATGATAAAATAATGATTATAAGTTTCATCAATACCAAGTTAATTATTTTTAACTAAAAAGTGAAAATTTTTGTTTAATACATTAGATAACAAAAATTAAATCAAACATTTAAATTCTAAACTAAATTTATCATTAAAATATTATTTTAAAAATATAGATGATTAACATTTAACCAAGTCTATTTCTTTTTTATTTTTTTTCGAGATATGAAAAATAATTCTTTTTTATAACAGATGATATAATTTAAAGATAGTAAAGAAGAAAATTGTTTAATTTATTTAAAGAAAAATTTTATCAAATAATTGTTAACTCATAAATAATTTTCAACTAATTATCGTTATTAATATATAGTTTGTGTATCGTTTTTCGCTAAAAAATAAAAGATAAGGCTTTTAACAATAATTTTTATAGCAACATTATCAATAAAATATTTTCACTTCTACCGTTATTTTTATAAGAGTTGTAATTAAAAAAATGTTTTAGGTCTTTGTCTGTATTTATAAAATATTTATACAGGGTTGTTTTGAAAAAATCTTTCACTAAAATTTTTATAAATAATTATAAAACTACCTATAAAAAATAATTTTCTATTGACGTGATTCTATTTAATTAAATTTTAATAATTGGTTAAATGGAAAACCTCGGAATATTATTTTTTATTGGTATTTTACTTAGTAAATGTTTAAATGATAAAACAGTAAAAGATTCGTTTTTTAATACTTTCTAATGATTCTTTTATTTACCTGGTCTTAGACATTAAAATAAAATTAATGGCACTGATTTGATTGGCGCCCCATCTTTTAGTTTTAATCCGTCAATTGGATTGGCGCCCCATTTCCTGATTGGCGC